TCTTGCCTTCACAAATTATTTGCTTGACATTGCCTTTTCTTCATGACCGAGTATTTTTGACAGATTCCAACCAACTTGGCTGGTCTTATTGAAAATAGAGCCCATCCTTTCTGGAACCAGAAAGATTTTACTTAACTTATACTCTTCCTTGTTATTCTCGCATGGTGAATCTAATGTTCACCAATTGTTTGCTTGTTTCTGTTAATGAATGTGCATAACAACTTGAACATGAATGATCAGGTATTAGGAAGACCGAGGTTTGGAGGAGGACAGCGGCCCATGGACATGATAACATAGCCTTATAAACTGACACGCCGATGTGATGTTACAGTCATTCTCATTCTATATGATCTCCCAAGGTAATACCTCATCTCCCTTGGTAAATGATGACACTGGGAGAGGAGGTATTACCTTGGATATGGACTTCCAAGAACTCTTGAACATATTCGAATGACTGGGAGGTTCTCTTTATGATGAACTCTCTTCCAACAGCCCCCGTGTGCATATTCCTCCCCTACATTTACACAGCCATTTTGTACTAATTATTTTGGAACTGAACTCAGAGCATAGCACATAGAAAGAAATTTGGTTCTGTAGAATAGAATGTTGTAGGTTTATAGAAGTGTTGTCTTTTGGGGATTTTTCCAGAAATAACACCATTAAAAAAAATTACAAAATAGCACCCCTCACAGAAAATGCCAAAAATAGCACCTTTATTTTAAAACCGCACCTCCAAGGTGCGGTTTACATGTGAACCGCACGTCCAAGGTGCGGTTTATATGTAAACCGCATCCTGAGAGAGCGGTTTAAGGTTATGGGCCAAAACCGCATCTTGGCCTTACGGTTTTGTGTCTGACCTAACAGAACCGCATGGCCTAGGTGCGGTTCTTTGGCTGATCTAGAACAACCGCACGTCGAGGATACGGTTCTGTTTCTCCAACACAAATCGCACCCTCAACATGTAGTTTTGCCCTTGCCGACACACAAACCGCACCCTCCCCCCATGTGGTTTGTGTGTCGTCCCCATTTTCCCGACACCCACCATGTTGCCATGCAGGTTGATAGACGTGTGGCTGCATGGCAGATGAAAACCGCACCCTCCCCATGCGGTTTTCATTGATGATTTTGCCTATAAAAGGCAGCCCCGAGAAACCTCTTCTCTTGACACCTCTCCTTCTCCCTTTTCAATTTTTTGTTGTAGCTCCCCACTTCTTTATTGTTTTTGCAGTTAACGTTAACTCGTAAGTTTATTTTGTATTACTTTTTTTTTTGTGATTTGTGATTTTTATGATATTAACTGAACTACGGTTTTTTCACAAATGGCATTCCAAAAGTTCACGCTTGGCTTACGGTGGAATGGTTACACGGAAGAGACCTGAAAGGGGGGTCACCTACATCGGTGGCAATTTTCAGAAAATAAAGGTCGCTACCAGACCGATGCTTGAAGACCTCTATCAAATGTGTACTAACGTTACTTGCATGGATGGCACGAGAAGAGTTGATCGTATGGTGTACCAATATCCAAACAAAGAAGGAGCATCGTTGTGGCATGAGGAATATCTCATAACCACTCAGGATGAAGTAGATGTCATGCTCGAATTCTTGAGGTCCAATAATCTTTCCAAAGCCGAGATGTTCGTTTACACCGAGACGGCTGTAGGCGTTGGAGGTCATTCTGGAGACGGTCAAACATCTGGTATCACCTCGTGCACCATTGACCGATATGACCAGGGAATTGCTGGCAATGCCAATGAACTAGGGGTGGCATTCGGTCGGTTCGGTTTTGACCGAACCGAAATTATGAATACCGGGTCCCCGAATTCCCTCAAACCTCAAACCAAATTCGAACCGAATTATATTTCGGTTCGGTTCGGTATTTCACACAAAACCGAATTTGTGAAACTACTTAGATTTTATCACTTTTAAATTATTTTTCACCCCTAATATAAACAATAAATATCAATTATATGCATCATCAATGATAAAATCAAACTTTTCAACACATATGTCATAAAATATTTCAAATATTTAAGTCTAAAACAACTACAAACATAAAAATCCACCATTTGGAGCTTGCAATTATAGAATTTCGGTTTTTCGGTCGGAAATTCGGTTCGGTTGAAAGAACCCTGATTTCCGAACTATCCATATTTTTCTTCCGAATTCCGAACTGAATAGCATTAGTTCGGTTTAATTCGGTTTCGGTTCGGTTCGGTTCGGGTTTACCGAACCGTTTGCCCACCCCTACAATGAACGATGTTCTCAGGGTATGGATCGTAGATGATCTACAAAAAGAAATGAGTAACTTAAGCTAAACAAAAATTGGAAAAATACATGTACTTCATGAAAAAAAGTTATAACACTTCGAAGTATTCTAGTTACCTCTACTTCACAAAGTCGCTCTAGCCTCCTCCGATACTCTACCAACTTGTGTTCGGAAAGGTTGTCGCATGTTGAGGCTCCAACCCACCTTATTAATAAGAAAATAATGAAACTACAATAAGCTAAAACACAAACGAAATGGTGTGCTTAAAACTCGATTTTCCCAGGGAATGGGAGGATCATGATAATCGCTTAAAATTTCATTTCCTTAGACATGCATCTCTTTATAAAGAGTCGAAGTAAGTGGCGCTATGTATTCGATTAAATTATTGAAAACAACCAATACGATTAAAAATGATCAAATTTCTTTTATATTCCACTAAGTACATTAGCAAAATAAAAGAAAGACAAATGATGAAGAATTGTATGTACCTCGTGATCGTTCCAAACATCTCTTGAACGATGGTTGGGTTGGTCGTACAAGTCGGTTGGATCAATAGGTCCTTGATCAACATAATATCGTTGGTTGAACATATTCACGTCGTCCCCAACCTACGAGAGAATAACAACAAGGTTAGTACATTTATTAATTAAAAAGGTTATAACAACAAAAAAAATTTGGTAAAATGAGTACGTACCACTTGAAATTCATCATAATAAACTCCCTCTTCTTGGAACCACTCGTCCATTTTTCGCGAAAGTCGGACACAGATTCGGCGGGTTTTGAAGGAAAAACCAAAGAAATGTTTTCTGATGGCAGATTGGACTTAGCCGCAACCAACATACCACTATTTCCTAGGCTTTTGGGTGGGGAGGGAGATGGATAGAGAGATAATTTTAGAGAGAGAGAGTGAAGAATGGGGTGTGGTGTGAAAAAATGAGGAGGGGAGGGAGTATTTATTTATACTTTGCAAACCGCACCCTCCAGGGGCGGTTTAGTAATTTTTCCCTTGCCAAAACCGCATATGGAGAGTGCGGTTCACGTTTCACGAGGCGCAAAACCGTAGCAAGGAGGTGCGGTCTTCAATCCTCTACACGGATCGCTGAGCTGGCGTGCCGTCTGCCATTGGATTGCAGCCTAATCCAACGGTCTTGGGGACCGCTGCGTCGTAAACACAAACCGCACGCTGATGATGTGTTTTTCTTGCTGACGTGGCAAGGACCGCACCTTGGAGGTGCGGTTTCTAGATAAAACGCACCTTCACCGTGCGGTTTATTTATAAAACGCATCTTGGAGGTACGGTTTGAAAATAAAGGTGCTATTTTTGTAATTTCTATAGGCTTGGTGCTATTTTTGTAAAAAAAAATATAAATAATAATAAAGGGTGCTATTATTAGAAAAATCCTCTTCTTTGTAGTATTGCTCCATTTGAAAATGCTATGCCTTTTCAGCATATTAGAAAACTTCAATAATGAAATTCTATTCATTCTTTCTTTCTGAAATATTGTCACTGCATTATAAAAAATAAAAGTTTGTCATTGCCACGATGGTTCATCAACTGGCCCGTTTTGATTAGAAATTGCCAACGGAAGCAAATAGAGAAATTGAAGTGTGAAAATATTACTAAAAAAGGGGTAAATGACACATTTGGTCACTGAGATTATTAAATTGTGTCATGTTTAGTCACTAGAAAAATTTAATATCAATTTTGGTCACTCGAATTACCGAAATTGGTCAAATTTAGTCACTCTCCCGTCAGTTTCCGTCCAACTCCATTAATGTAGTTGGACGGAAACTTTTGGTAGAGTGACTAAATGTGACATGTTTCAGTAATACGAGTGACTAAATGTGACATTTTTCAATAATTCGAGTGACCGGAGTTGGACAGAGGCTACAGAAGAGTGACCAAATGTGACCTGTGTCAGTAATTCGAGTGACCAAAATTAATATTAAATTTTTCTAGTGACTAAATATGACACGATTTAGTAATCTCAGTGACCAAGTGTGTCATTTACCCCTAAAAAAAGTGAATGATTTTGATGATTAGGTTGTCCAACAATTTGTTCACGTTTTTAGAGAATAGATGAAATTGCTATAATATAATTAGGATGAGAAAAAGGATCCAATTTTTAGGTATTGTTCAAACTCAATTTATTATGGAAAATTAGGTTTGGTAAATGTTATTTTTGGGGTTGGGGTATATTCATACTCACTTTTTAAATTTGAGTCTAAATTGGACCCATAGTATTTGAACTCCAAAAGAAAATAGTTATCGAACTATAATGTAATGTTTGTTTTATTTTATGTTACGATACAAATAGAAAGATGAAAACACCGATGTTAAAGGTGTATAATTGTTTTAAAAGTAGTTAATGAAATAGCTTATATTGTTTTAGTATATCCAATCGTCTAACCCAAATAGGACCCAATTCAAAATTATCCAAATTGAAACCATTAAAACGCATATAGGTCCATTTGAATCCACCCCAAGATTCATATAGGTCATGCCGATTTGGTCAAATTACCCAATGAACCAATTCATTGTCATTTTCTAAATATAATTGTAGTACGATAATGACTAAAATATCTTCACACAAACTTTCGAAGTTTTATTAGTTATTATCCATGACATATAATTCTTAGTTACATTGATGTATACACATAAACATATAATAGTTTTTTCCCCCCAAAGATACAATTGATGTTTCTCTCAAGACATTATTATCAAACAGACCATTTACCATGAGGCAGTTTCGACACTCCAATCGTTCTCATTCCTCGAAGCACGCCGGAGAGGGATCACCGATCGATCGGTACTTGAATCGTCACCAAACGATCTCAACCTTCTCAAATCCGTCAGAATCTTCACCAGACTCGACACCACCTCCTCCATGTTTGGTCTAGTCTCCGATTCCCGTCTCAAACAGGCCAAACTCAACCTGAACAGAGGCAGTGCCATCTCCACCCCAGTTTCTCCCATATTAGCATCAACATACGACGTTAACGCCTCCTCCAACCCACCTTTCTCCGCCAGAGAAACCACCGTCGTCGAAAGCAGAGTCTCCTTCCCGTTCCTCGCCACCAACACGGCTTCCTTCCCCGTGATCAGCTCCAGCAACACGACCCCAAACGCGTAGACATCGATCTTCGGAGTGATCTCCCCGGTCTCCACGTACTCCGGCGCCATGTACCCTCGCGTCCCAACCAAATGCACCGTGACATTAGTGTCCCTAGCCGCCGCCGCCGACCTCGCCAGGCTGAAGTTCGTGATCTTGGCCCTCAGGTCACTGTTCAGAAGGACATTGCTCGTCTTAATGTCCTGATGAACATACGCGGGCTTGGTGAAGTTGTGGAGATAGTAAAGTCCGTTGGCGACATCGAGACCGATCTGAACCCTAATCTCCCATCCAATTCCACCTTCTTCTTCTCCACCCTTTCTTCCCCTCTTGAGCCAGTCTTTCAGGCATCCGAATTCCATGTACTCGGAGACCAAGTACAAGCTCTGCCCGTCGTCGCAAACGCCATAGAGGTTGATCACATTGAAATGGTTGATCTTCATCAGAATGTTGACCTCAAGCGATATATCGATCTCCCTGCTCATCTTCTTCACCGCAAATACTCTGTCTCCGAACTCCCCTGAATAAACAGAGCCCTTGATTCTCTTCCCGGGGCAGAATTTCCCAGTCGCCCTGTTCACTTCCTCGATCCCAAACACCTTCAGAGCTCGCTCGCAGCTCGCTATCTCGACTCGGAGGTCCTGCTTCACTCTCTCCTTCCTCATCTCGCCGGCGTAACTTTTCCTCTTCCTTTCCCCCTGAATCAGACAAATCACCGCCACGGCGATGCTGACCAGGAGCAGGAAGCAGGCCGCGGCGAGGCCCGCCAGCTCGAGTGCTTTCGCCTTCGATTTCGGAGCTCCTCCGCCGGCGGACTTTGTGGGCCCTGGCGGAGGTGCAATTTGAGGAACCTTGCTGTGGACTTTACTCATTGAGCTCAGGGGAAGCCCTGAGAGCGGAATCAGAATTGTGGTACCCGGAACCAAATTCGGGTCTCCGGTTAGACCGTTGGCGTCGAGGATTCTCTCCGGCGTGACATTGAACCTCCTGGCCAGATCAGGCAAGCTGTCGTCGGAGCTAATCGGGTATGTGAGCAGGTAAATTACTCCGCCGGAGACCTCATCTGCCGACGGGCAGGCGCACCGGAGCGGGACCTGGATTTTCATTCCGGGTTTCAATTCGCGGTCGGGAATTGGGTTCCCGCGCCTGATCGCCGCGCAGGTCGCCAGCCCGTCGAATAAAACCGTCGACGCGACATAGTAAGTCCCCGCGGCCCTCGTCACGGTGAAGCTCGTGTTTGCTCTGTAGTATCGTTCGCCGTCGCCGGAGCAAGAGCAGGTAACGGGGACGATTACGTCTTTACCCAGCTCGAATCCCGAGGAGGGATCGTCGGCGATTGCGTTGAATTCGGCGATCTTCGCGGCGTCGGATGACGTCAGCTCGGCGATTTCGGCAGGGGAGCTGTAATCGAGAGTGGATCGGAAGATGAGGAAGGATTGGCAGGAACGGTTGAGGCCGTTGCAGGTGTAGAGAAACGCTGGGGACGGGGCGAGTTCGTCGGAGGCGGCACAGTTGAGGGATGAGAGGCCGGAGTAGTTCTGCCGGGCGGCCGCCGGCGGAAGTAGTTGGAAGAGAGCGGCGGCGAGGGTTAGTAGCAGGACAAAGGAGGAAATTTCCATGGCTTCGTTTGATGGGTGTCTCTGGAAATGGGAGCAGAGCTCTAATGGCGAGAGAAGTGTTTGAGTGGAAATTTGAGAATTAGAGTTTGTAGGTGGCGGAGTTTGATGAGTTGAAATGGGGCTAAATTGCAAGTTTGGTCACTCGAATTGCTACAAAATTTCATGTTTGGTCACTCGAATTCGTTTATTCCATTCGTAGTCACTTAAATTAGTTGAACAGTCCAAGTTTGGTCACTCTCCGTTAACCTCCGTCAGACTCCGTTAGTGCCGTTAGTTAACTGCTGACGTGGCTAACAGAGATGTCTAGTCACCCAATTTTAACCCAAGAAAAAACAAAAATTGATCCGCCACATCAGAAAAACATGCCACCTCATATTAACACAACCCAACCCACCTAACCTAAAAAAAACCATTAACCCACCCAGAAATCAAACCCGTGACCCATCCACCCTTCTTCTTCCTCTATACCCTACATCCGCCGCCGCCGGGGGATTTCCATGCTGGACAAGAGTCGAGTTGCGGTAGCTGAAAATGGTGGTGCCGCATGCGACTTCTTATCACGCGGCTGCGGCAACAATGCCTCCTCCGGATAAGTTCCCGGAATCAGCGAAGGCCGACAATAACAACATTTTGTCGGATTCGAAGCCACCGTTGACTGGCGGATCAGATGCTAGAGATATGGTGGAGTCGGAAGAGGAGCCCAGATCGCCGATTAAAGAATCTGCATCCTCTGCTCATTGATTGTTTCTTCACCATTATCCCGCCCATGTCGACACAAACTAGGAACTGTTTGGATCTGTAGATTTCGATGGCTATGGCTTGGGCGAGCTTTGTTTTCCCGACGCCGGAAGCACCGTCGAAGAGGAAGCTTGCGAGGGGTCAGTTTGCGTTTCTGGCACCGGCTTGGGCACGACGAATTGCTTGCCCGACTTGGTTGACCGCTTCGTCTTGTCCAATCACGTGAGCCTTGGAGTTCTCCGGAGCCATTCATCGGAAACAGAGTCCCAATTAAAGTCCCTTTAATTTTTGCCGGCCAATAGTTACAGGAAGTCAAAAACTAATTTAATTGCAGATTTCCCCAAGTGTGTCTGCTTATTTTCTCTTTTTGGGTCCATAATTTTGTATCATTTTCAGAGACCCCCAGTCGACTCTTGTCCGGCGGCGGCAGATGTAGGGTATAGAGGAAGAATAGAGGAAGAAGAAGGGTGGATGGGTCACGGGTTCGATTTCTGGGTGGGTTAATGGTGTTTTTTAGGTTGGGTGGGTTGGGTGGGTTGGGTTGTGTTTATATGAGGTGGCATGTTTTTCTGACGTGGCAGATTAATTTTTGTTTTTTCTTGGGTTAAAATTGGGTGACTAGACATCTCTGTTAGCCACGTCAGCAGTTAACTGACGGCACTAACGGAGTCTGACGGAGGTTAACGGAGAGTGACCAAACTTGGACTGTTCAACTAATTTAAGTGACTACGAATGGAATAAACGAATTCGAGTGACCAAACATGAAATTTTGTAGCAATTCGAGTGACCAAACTTGCAATTTAGCCGTTGAAATGGGAAGAAACAAAAAGTGGAGTGTGTGAGAGAGAGAAAGGAGAAGAAGACGGTTGGCCCCTCAAACTTTTAGGATATCTTCTACTTGCCACTTTGAGGTTATAAAATTCATATTCTAATCATGTAATTTTAATTGGGTGGCTATTTAGTACTTAATAAGTTCTGGTTTTGCGCTGTTTTCAGCCTTACGTTAGTTACGTATTCATAAAAAAATTTAGAAAGCCAAAATACACCTGCATAGTCATAATTTTTCAATTTTTGACAATAATAACTGTTTTTGGAGAAACACGCAAAATAACCATTTTTAACACCTTTTCTTATATACCTTTCACAAGGCTTTGTCGGACTGTCATCAATATGATATTTGAGACTTTTCTTGTCTGTCTCCTGCTGTGGCAAAAAAAAAAAAAGAGCATCAAAATCTTTCACAAGGAAGAAATTATGAACAAACATTAAAAGAGCTTAGATCAATATTTTCTTCTGAGCTGAGGTATCAAAACAAAAGATTTATGAACTATGGGGAGCAAATAGAGAATGTAGTAAGAGTACAGTGTGGGCAGAAAATAATATTTTATGGTAAGCCAAAACCAAAAGAGGAGGACAAATTCCGTGTTGACACTTGACACTACCCAGTTAAGTTCCTTCTGTTGCTGAATTTTGAATAGAAAATGGGAGAGAACAAAAAAAGGATTTGGCGCTAAACCGCTGGCGCGGGGAAGTTTAATGTTTGTTTCCTGACGTAGCCAATAGAATTGGCCGCTTCATTTTGTTGGATGAGCATTAGACAGGAACTAAAGATAAAGTAGGAAGAAAACAACTCGTCGCTTAGCAAAGTTCATTTGTTTGATTGCTTACTACATTCCCTAATTAGCTTTTTTTATAAGGGTTAAATGAGTTGAATTTCATAGTTAGATGCTAATGAAGGAATTCGAATCTGACCCTTAAAATAAGAAAATAAATAACGAAATAAAAAATTGAGAACGTGCCTGCCAAGAGTTGTAACTACACCAAAAAGAAACCGCAACGCAGTAACAAAGCCGGAAAGACTCGCCGTCCACGGTGGGAGTCGCCGTAGGAGCCCGGACCGCCACTCGTAAAAAAACCCCTACAAAAAATAAGATCCACGAGAAGGATTTCAAGGATAGAGTCAAATCCAGGATTGACGCACGATGGCGTGGCGCAGGAATCTGCTGGATCGCACGACGGCGAGAGAGGGAGAAACAAATCCAGAGGGTAGCCAGAGCAGGGTGCTTTCCCGCTGCTTCCTTTCCCTCTCATGCATGATCAAAACCAAAAGTAACCGCCACTGCCCCGGAAATGTAACCGACGGTGCTTTTGACGGTTACCGCCGTAACCAGTAGATTCACCCGCTACATCTCATTCCTCTGTGGCACTCTGTACTCTATAAGCCTCCGTCTTCCGCGAGTTCTTCTTTCCCTCAATCTATTCTCTGAAATCGCGCCAAACCAGAAGGCCGCAGGACAAGCCGGGAGGTCGGGCCGTTCGTCCAGCCGGAAACAGAAGGATTCGACGGCGATGCGGCGGTCGTCACAGAGATCGAGCACCCCGCCTTCCACATCCGGAACACGGAGGCGCCGCCTTCGTGGAATTCCTCGTCGTCGGCTTGGACCTTGTCCGTCCATTTGCCCTGAGTGTGCAGCGCGACGGTAGAGCAGAGCAGGTTGAAGTCCACCATGGCCACATCCTCGATCAACTTCTGCTCCTCCTCCTCAATCCGTCCCTCCGCCGCGCCGCCGTCGCAAGCTACCCAGTAACTAACTTTTTCTTACTGTCAATGATAGGGAAGGAAGGATTAGGAAGGATGGATCGATGAGATTTGGTGTTGGAGGCGGTTACTTGTGGTGAATCCTAATTGGTCATACGATGAGCAATGGAGAATGATGTCGATCATGATCGAGGTGGAGGTGGAGCAATGCTTGAAGACCTCTTTTACATTTGTTTCTTTTGTTTTTGCTCTTAGTAGTACTAACAGGGCTGCCCATCGCGTGGCACAAACGGCCCTTGCATCGGTAGCAACCCTTTTGGTTGACTACCGCTTTTTTATTTTCACCGCACTGTAATACCCTATCTATTACGATCTATCTATGGCAAAAAAAAAAAAAAAGGAATTCGAATCTGTTAATTTAATGAAGGTATTCGAATCTGATAATTCAAAGTTTAAAATTAGTAGTATTAGAAACTCCATATCCAGGTGGATCATTAGAAATTTATATTGAAAATTTTATTTTGAATTACATCATGACGTCACACCTTAGTACAATTTTATGTATGTAGAATTATATCGTTTGTCATATCATCTTTGTCATTGTTTTATTATTTATGGTTTTTTATTGTTGAAGAGTTTGTGTCTTACGATTATATTATAAATTTCACTACATCCGGTTGCAATTGCAAGTGAATAATATTGGCATAGGTGCAATAAAATTGAAACAAATATAATAGTTAAATTTTTTAAAGCAGTTATAGCAAATGAACAACATGGATAAGGCTAGCATAAAAAAATATACCCAAAGAACAGATGGAGGGAGAACTAATAACCATTTCACCATGGAAATAAGCGGTATTTAGAGAGAGAATAATTAATGTAACAAAAAAATTCCAATCACCAATTGTCATCTTCGTCCTTCGATGTAACACCACTCGCATTTAGCCCTTTTGTCACTATTGGAATTAATCATTCTGTCGTTTCGTTTTTCGTAATGTTCTATCTTGAATGTCGCCACTGCGGCATCTGAGCACCAATTGTCATCATCACCATCCATTTTGTATGGGTTGAATGGATCACTCAGTCATTTTCCATTGTACTTTATCTTAATCCTCATAAAATTCCCAATGTAATTGAATTGACCCAAAGTTCCAATTCAAAGAAAAACACTTGACCCCGTGAGAACACGAGAAATTAGCTTCCCAAATGCCTGAATCACATTGACTATGTTTATTCATTAATCAAATTGATCTTGGCCCAAGTAGGTAAGTATTATACTTACTTACATTAATCTTCCTAAGAACCAATCAACACTCCGATGACTAGTAAACTATACAGCTAATGATATAAATTATACTACCATGTATAAATCGTTTGGTCTCCAGGCTGTCCTAGTCCTACAATAGATCCGAACCCAAAATTCCCGGCTGGAGAAAGACCCCATCAACCAACCGAGACCGGGTCAAGTGAGCAAACCGCAGACCAGGCTGGTTTGCTTCTTTTGTCTGTACAACAATGGCTTCTTCTTCTTCCAACCAACCTACCATGTCTCTTCTTTGCCGCCCCTTCGACTGTGACCGCTCTTATTTATTATTCTCCTCTTTGCTTATTTGAACAACAAAAATATTAGTTCATTTCATGTTAAAATAAGACCAAAAGAGAAGAAAAGAAATATGAGATCCACCACAACTAATCTGGGCTTCATAACCGGCCCCAACGTGAA